AAAAAAAAAGGTCAGTGGAGGATTCTCTAGGGAATGCAAATTAATTTTCCTTTGTTTAGACTGAACTAAACTCTTCAGTGCCTGCTCTCCAGCTAATTTAGCCCACGAAAACAATTTTCTCATGGGTAGAGGCTTTCCTGTAAATTCAGCTTGTAGATATGTCTTTTTATGCCCATTTTTTTGGGTGGAAACTGTTAGAACAATGACTTTGGAGGCCTGATCAGTGTAGGAGAGAAATGAATTTGAGTAGTGTGAAATATAGGGTACATGTCTTTACACATGGGAATTCAAATTATTGGGCTATAGTCAGTACAACATGTTCTGTGACAGGCTATTACAGGCACTCTAAATTATATTTCAGTATCTTAGCCCTTGATATCATCAAGTAGCTAGAGCCCTGACTCAGTAAGTATAAACTGAAGTCTTTACAGGTGGACTGTAACTACGCAGCAAGAGCAACTCTGCTCCGCTGGTAAGGAGGCTGAGATATGAAATGGCCATGTGTCTGTAGGTATACAAGTTCCAAGGGTTACTGCAAGAGTAAGTGCATATTCTCTGGCATGTGGATTCCTTATCCTTGCCATACACTCCAGTTACTCTTTAGTCACTTAACTGTGGTAATTCTCTCCGGAAGCGGGGGGCACACAGTAATGTTGCTTGGTGTGAAAGTTGTATAACTTGCAAATTACCTATCGTTTTTTGTTGGTGCTAAATTCAATTTAGGCTCACTATATCCATCTGCAACCTTTTGCAAGAAGGGTTTAAACTCTTTGTCATGCCAAAAATCAACCTTTGAATTATGCAACTAATCCTTCACCTAGTTTTTCATCTCTACTTCTCCTTGCCAAACCTTTCCAATTCATCCTCGCCAATGCTTGGCAGCCGTGGTCTGGCAAGCCAGCTTTTCACCTCCCGTCCCGGGTTTCCGCTTCTGCAGCCCTTTGGCTGTCCTCCGCTTTCTTCCCTGTCTCGTCTGACTGGTTCCTCGAAGACTGGCGGAGATTTTACCTGCCGTGAACCTGGCTACCACAAATTAGGGGCAGGGAGTCCAAACACCTCTCTCTCACTGTAAGTGTAAGTGGATGCAACGTAGAAACAGAGGATGCTTGCTTCAGCTTTTCTCTAAAAACAAGTCATGCATGGGCTTTAAAAGGTGAGAATGAAGAGCGGGCGGGTAGAGAAAATAACCAGCGCGACGACAGCAGCAGCCCTCGTTACTCTTCAACAAAGCACCCCTCCCTCTCCGTGAAGGTCGTCGAGAGTCGTTATCTGTTTTCGCACCGATCCAACCCAAGCTTCCACAAACAGTGGCCAGAATATACTAGGTGCTCTGTGAACTTCGCTGCTCGTTCCAAGACCGAGATTAAAAGCTGCTAATTTGGCCCCGTGAAGAAAATGACAAAGGCTCGCCCGCAAACGTCCGTGTCCCCCGCACAGCCCCATTGTTCTGCAGCTCGGTACCCTGCCCTTTCCATTGTTTTTGTCGCGCTACTTTTCCTACAGCCGCGCTTAAGCCCAGGAGCACACGGCGCCCCCGGTTCCGCAGACTTCGGCGCTCCGAGCCCCGGCGCCGCTTCGGGTGCGCTCGGCCTCGGACCCGGCCCGCGGGCGCGTCTCTTCCCGCCTTCCCGCGGCGGAGCACAGACCACGGCCGCCGCCCGTCCCGGCCAGGCCCCGGGCTTCTCCCCTCCCGCGCCAGCCCGGTCCCCGGGGGCCGCCGCCGGCCCCACGCTCCCTTCTCCCAGCCCCATCCACGGGCTCCGGACGTCACTTCCCCCGCTCACCACCCGCTCCCGCTCCCTTGCGCCCCGACAGCCGGCTCCCCGCCAGAGGCCAGCGCGGTCTCCGTCGCCCTCCCCGCCGGCCAGCGGGATCCGAAGAGAAAGAAGGGGAGGGAGAAGCGGAGGAGAGCGCGAGGGCCCGGAGAGAGCCCTGGGGCCCGGCGCGCAGGCCGGCAGCGGCGTCGCCATGGCAACGGCGCCGGCAGGAAGCGGGAGGGGCAGCGCGCGGAGGGGAGGGGAGGGGAGCGGAGCGGAGGGGAGGGGAGGGGTCGGCTGCCCCGGA